GAGAAACTCAAACACCATAAGATGTAGATAAGGAGCAATCAGGGAATGGAAATCGAGCTCTTGTACATGGAGTCATGATGGAAACAAGCTTTTATTTTTAGAAGAAATTGGAGCACAAACTAAATGCCTACTGACTCTAATGCAAAAGTGGTCAAGCTGGTAAAATCCCGAGGGGGGGCAGAATTAGTCTAGCTGTTGTGGAGAGAGGAGACATGCGATCTCTGCTGTCTGCCATGCACGTGCACCTCTGGACAGCGTCCAGATCTGCTCTGAGGCCTGTCAGTAAACCATGCATGCAATGGACATACTGTTGAGTGCAAGCTTGGGGGGAACAGAAGCAAAAAGAAGCTTATCTTCAGTCTTTTCAAAGTTTTTGAATGAAATGATGAAATAAAAGGGCACAGAGGGAAATGGAAAGATTTTTTTCACAATGTGTCAGACAGAGCGTGGAAGCAAACACATGAAATTAAAAAAATAGTGGATCTGAATATATGTCGGTACCAGCATTTACAGAGGCCAATGAAAAAAGCTAAATAAAGATACTGCATGGTTTGCCCACCAGAGGGCACTCTACAACTTACCGACATGTTTGGAACACCACAAACACAAAAACTAGCTGATCTGAACAGAGTCAGGCAAAAATAAATTAAAAATAAATAACAAATGTTAGGGAAATATGTTGTGTGTGCCTGAAAGGAAACTTAAAAAAAAATTCAGCCAAAATATCAGACTTTTCACTAAATATTGGTGTCGGTGTCAGTATCAGTCTTTATTGGTCGGCTCTACTTTGAGCTGGGCTAAGGCTCACCTCTGTTAAAACTCTTCATGCAAATCTAACCAGAACATTTTGAGTATTTCTGCTAATAGGCAAACTGAACCAAGGTAGTAATGATGTCACTAAATGTAGCTAAAGGTATGTATTTGCAAGTTGTATGTAGTCCACTCTGTGAGCCAAAGGTTCAGACTTTGCTATACACTTTTCTACTCTTGGATATCTGTGTGGTATCACTAAAAAGGGGATGGGACTAATATGGTCAGCACAGGCACACATATTTGCCTGTGAGCACAGAAGTCACACCCACCAACCTTCTGTTTAAAAGGTGCAACCAATCAGAACAAAGCTGGCCCAAAGGGAGAAGGAAGGGTCTTAAAATGGCTTATTTCTGAAAAATGTGAATTGAAGGTCACCAAGGCCCAATTTAAGATTCCAACAATAAAAATATGGAGATGGGAATTACCACAATAGATAACCTTTAAGAAAGAAAAGATTAAATATTACAGCAAAATTATACTTTATGGTCCCAATATGACATTTCTCTTCACAATTTATGTGGTCAAATCACCTTATAATATTTTTAATTTATGGCAAATTAATTACCTTCCTCACACTCAGAATGTGAGGAAGGTAACTGGCAATACAATAATACAAGAGCAAAAAAACCAAGAGTAACTATGCTTCATGGAAAAGAAGTGATAAAAGATCAACAAGACCAAACATCATCGTCATCTGAAACAACTGCTAACTTAACCCTTCAGTTAATATCAAGAGGAAAGCAGCTTTAACATGAAATCAATACTGAATGTTTAAAATATCAGTTATTGCACAGATGAGTACATTTTAAACTATTATGTGAACCAACTTGTCTAGAAAGTCTGAATCCGCTAAACCATGCCAGAAAATTTTAAACCATGATCACAGATTTACTGAAAATCTTTGAACTGTTCAGCCTATCCACATATTATATTTCTGATACTATATTTCAGAAACATGTGGCTAGTAAATGTTTGTGATTATTAAATGACCTTTTTCCTTCAGAGAGGTGTTGTTATGTTTTATCCACTCAAAGAACCTGGTCAAGAACAGAGTTTTTCATGGCACTACTCTTGCCTCTGTGCCCTTTAAAGCAAAGTCAAATCAATAAACCTACAAATGTTTTCAACACCAAGTCACTTAAATGCACTGCAGGCTGTGTTTTCTTTTTTAATGTTGTGTAATTGATTGTTTGATTGCACTGCTTTAAAAATGTTATTGCCATAGCAGTAACACAGCGTAACCTCCGGTCCTCCAGCTAAAGGACACATACACTCTCTTTGTCTCCTTTGCACCACTGTTATGCACCACAAATTGTACCAAAAGTACCAGCAGCAGATAAGTGCTTATTGGTGCATCATTAAATCACATACGGCTGCACACCCAGGAGACAAAGTGGGGCTGCTGGTGGGGGGTCTGCTTGCTGCCTTTCTGCTTGCTTCAAATAGGTCAGCGGTGACTACCAAACCAAGGCCAGGGCATCAGACACAACAGCTGCTCATTTTGCATACGCACGCACGCACGCACGCACTACTATCCTCCCATCATACCCTAAGATGACTGTCTTTACACACAAAAAACAGATGTACAACCCCCCCATCCATCTTTATTAATCCCCCTTGGATTTCTCCAACCCATGCTGAGCAGATGTGCTGCTGCGTGGCATTTAGTGGACATCAGCATCATGCCAAACCACCTGCGTGCCCTGGGCTAGGACAAAACCTCTTCTCAATAAACTACTCCACCACTAACTAAGACATAAACCCACTTCAGTTTGCTGTAATAATTAAATAAAGCTGTTACAAGTGAATTCGTTTGTGGGAATAACTGGATATTTCCTTACTACTTTAACAAGTGAAGCACCAAGCCTGCATTTTCAGAGGATGAGGATCAGCTGGAACACGACGCTAAGAGGTTTTTTCATGTCCTTTGTGTAGCTCTGGATTAGTGTAGCGTGTGACCTTTAGCACAACATCGTTTCTGATCTCTCCCATCTATCCTGTTATGCCTGTTCCTCTGCTAACGAAGCAGAACAGCTTTGAGTACAGCAGGGACAGAGTGTGACAAATCCTGTTAGATTGCCTTAATAATACCAAAGCTAAACATAATAAGAACATGATATAGTGCCGGCTAACATCTTTAGATTAAAGACAGCTTGACAAATGTCGCCCCTGAAAACAACTGAGAGGTGAAGTGCGGCAGAAAAAACAATCAGCCTTGGTACAAGCCAAGTCAGCAGTCTCTTTGAGGAGACAAACATGCTTACTCCAGACTTGATCTACACCAATAAGGTTTCTGTTGTTGGTTATTATCACACTCAACTGTCATTAAAACCAAGAACAGAAACTATGCTGATGCTAGAGATTCAGGGTAAAGGGGTTTCAAAGTTAAAGCTGAAGTCCTTTGCACGATTTCAGTAGATTTCACTTGAAAAATCCATGATGACACATGCCCATACTCTCTAAAACTTTTAACAGAACAGTGGATTCTTACCAAAGCATGGAAAGAAGCAGTTTTCTGAAGTAAGAGCAAGTACAACAAGTACACATGTAGACTTCATCACCTGCTTCACATGCTATATACATGCAGAACCACAAGATGTCACGCTGGAGCTCAGCTGCTTCCAGTGGACTGCAGCCCAGCTCATTGCTAAATTCCCCCCAGGTGTCCTAAGAGCCAAATCCTGGCCCCATAATTAAGCCCATGTAGTATGTCATTTATCGGAAGCCTGTTTCAGTTAAGTGCTATCGCATCAGCTGCACGAAGAACACCAATACAACTAGAGCAACCTATATCCAACACTCACATTGTAGCATACACTGAACTTGACTAGATTTGTTGTGATGGCAGGTCAGAGGGCAAGCATGAAATGAAGTATTCCCAGATTTCTCAAATAAATTCATAAATATTATATCTATTATATCTATATCTATAGTGTATGACAAAAAATAATCCAGGCATGGACTGTAACTTTACCTGTCTACTGTCGTGGCACTGTCCAGCTTGCAGCAGGTCACTATTGCAAAACAATGATTACAGTAACCAGCTGCAGACCAGCATATTGGGGTCGGAGACCGTACGACTATGTGACAAAAGACTCAGGAGGCGCAGATAAACAATCATCAAGGAGCTCCACAAAAGCGAATCGGTCAAAGCGCTAGTAGAAAAATACAAGACAGGAAGGGATATGGATAGCACAAAGTACTGGGCTTTAATATACATGGATGGCCTGCCCAAGTAAAGTCTATGTGTAGGAAACACTGTCCCAACATCACGATATGGGTCTGTCCGCGCTCTGTTTCACCATGTTTGTGTATCTACTCTGTGGCACTTAGAATATATGCACAGATATGCAGAAACAGACACACTTTTGGTGAACTGGCTGAACGTTTAGTTTAGAATTTAGTTAGTGCTCCTGCGACCAACATGCTAACATGGACACAATGCTGGACCACTTACCAAAACAAGAATAGGGAATGGATTTAAATAGTTATCAAATACTTTTCTGCTGCTAACATTCAAAATCTCACTTGCAGAAACCTTAACTTTTAAAGAAGCAAAGGTTTATCCAGATAAAGGGATTGAGAAACATCACCACAAAATACTGCAAGTGAAAAATGCAATAAAATTGACAACTATGCTCCAAGTGTGACAGTCTTGTTGAGCTAACCGTGGAAAACATGTTAGAGAAGAAAAACTACTTTTGCATTTGAAGACGAGTTCAATGATGATAAGAATTTGAGCAAAGCCTCGTGTGTATCTAGCAGATCTATTGATGTTTTTTCACTGCAACATCACACAGATAAAAAGCGGATTTCAAAATATGAGACGTGCTAGAATGTGCTGGTTGATAATAAGGACATGTGCTCTCACCTCACAGGTGCAGGTGACTCTGCGTGGGTGAGGTGCCTCCTGCTGGAGCTGATACACTGTGACGGGAAAGAGGCCATGTTATAAAATTATCAAACAATCATTGAAAACAAAGAGGACAAAATATTTAGGTATGTTTGAAAAAAAACAAAAGGTATATTGATACTTACAGTAGGATTTCCACACTGGTGGCCTGTATTCATCATGATCTGAGGACACAGAAAGCTCTCATTTAATTCCTTTGATGCAGCACCCCCATGTGGAGAAAACATGACAGTGACGCAACAGCTCTGTGTCTAAATTTTAATTTTAATCCATTAAACATACAACTGCATCAGAATGCGGATGTATTGATCAATTCATTATCTCTTTGACATTAGACCAGCGTAAAGAAAGGGGAAGCTTAATGTACAGACAAAAATCAAATGTTTTACAATCACATCAGGGAAGAGCATTACGATTTTAGGGCACTCACATGAATTTCACAGCTACGCCTTGAAACTGCTGAAGCAAACAAGCCAAACAAACACAGAAATCTACGCTCCAACACTGACAGCATGACTGCTTTATTTTCTAGTCTGTATGCAATTACCTTGGGACATCAGATTGATGGATTAAGTTTTTTCCATAGCAGAAACCACACAGAGCATAAATGGCAACTAAGTGGCTTAATGAATAAATCTACTCCGTGGAGCATAAAATGCTGTGAAAGATTCATTTATACCGTGGTTGCTTTTAAATGAGCTGTGCAGTGTTTATCTTTGTTACCCTCACACTAGCTTTTACTGTCAGCTCCCCTCCCTTCCTGAGGCCGTGTGAAATTAATTGTAGATGGATATCAACATCATGGCAGCATTCCCCTGTAGTTTTATTCGGTTGTAACAGACCATAAACAACACTGACAGTAGTATTAGCGAATGTGATTAAAACCGAAACACTTTTGGCCCCAGGCGCTGGTGTGGAGTCTGGGTGAACTCTTGCGGAGCTGCTGAGCACTTCTACTCAAAGACACCCATTGTGGCGTCTGTAAAATCCCAAGGTACACATTTAAATTCTGCACTTTACATCTATTGCATGTGTTGTTACTGCAATGACCTCAATTCCCAACAGAAATGAGATTTAACACTTCCACTTGTACTGGGACAAAGTGAGTCTTGTTACATAAGCATGACAAAGGCGTCATCGGTCACTACGACATGCTGTTTACTTTATCCTTTATGTGCCGTAAAGCATAAAACGGGTTGTTAAAGAGGAATCAGTCATGTAGTCGCAATGAATGATGTCTTGCTTCTTGGTACTTCATTATACTGCAGTTTCTATTTGCTTTGTTTATATCTTATTCTGCTCTGAGTTTGGCATTTTGTGCATATTCACAGCACTGAGCAAAAGTTTTGAGTTAGTCCTCATCTTTTCATCTGGTTCTCCAGGATTTCTGAAGCTTTTTCAAAGTTTTCCTTTGGACACTGGCTGCTTCTTCACTCTTTTTTAGTCCTGTCCTTGTGTCTCACTTGAGTTAGCATATAAAAACATCCTCGCATACACCAAGGCGAAAAGATGCAGGAAGAAGAAAATCTTACGAACCTACACTTTCTACAAATAAATATTTTATAAGGTTATTTACAGTAGCAGAATGCCTATATGCATACATGTAAATGTACCTATACATTTACACATAAGCACAAAAACATACAGACAACTCCAAAGCAAGACAAACAAAATAAGCATAGCAATTTTGAACTGAGTTACTGGCCATTGTATACAAATCATTAAAGATATAGCTTATCTGACTCATGCTGTGAAAAGTGAGATGTGATTTATAAAGTGTCATGTTCACAGTGCTATGTAAAGCTTGTTTTTGATTCCATAGTTAGTAATGCTTTGTTTCAAAGCACTCTGAGAAAAGTAGTTTTCTGCTCAGCAAAACTGTCTTATATCACATAACTTCTGCAGTATAGCAGGTAATATTCCACATATTGCTTTGAACAGTCAATTAGATTGTATGTACAAAAAGAGTGGAAATAAACATATCAAAAATATCGTTTGTGAAAATAATTAAGAAATCCTACACTGAACATCTAACAAAAACTAAATTAAAATACTTAAAGTGGACCCCTATTTTGTGTCACATACATACAGTTACAGCTGCTACAGAGTTTCAAATTATGAGGTCAGTATGTGTACAGTAATCCCTGTGAGCCAAAGGCTCAGGGTTTGGACTGCTCTGAACACAGTGTTTGAGCTTTTTGGCTGATGTGTGATGTCAGCGAGAGGAGATACCTGCTGTTTTTGAACAACAGCCAATAAGCAGAAAGTTAGCTTAAAGTGGAGAGTTTTAGATAGCTGTTCAGGTCCTGTGTGAAGGCAAATCATAAGATAAATTAAGCTTATTTTAAACATTAGACCATGCAAAGCTACTTTAGTAGAATCCAAGACCAAAAATTTTAAACTGGAAATCAGTACAAAAGGTCCTCTTTAACCCAGGCCTCGAAAATATATTTTTGTCAGGATCTGGCCAATTCAGAAATGTATTCCGTCTTCCATCTTCTTTGCATGTCCGCTTCCTGTCCTTGTGTACAGAGGCCACTCTACAAGCCTTATCTATTCAACACTTGTCGTCTCGGTATCCTGTCTTCAAAATAACTCCAAATCCTCCCCGGGCAATCGTCTCACCCTCCTTTTCTTGAGGCTCAAAGATACACAAACTAACAAGAACCCAGACAAAACACACAGACTGTTCACACTCCCGGCATCTGCAACAACAAATGGGCACTTTTCCTCCTTCATAACACACGTAAGAAACACTTGGCCCTTTGCTACTTTCAGAAAATAAGGGTTACAGTAAATTGCCTCATATATCTACATTAAAAAAGTAAACTTTAAAATACAACGGGTTGCTAAAGATTAAACGCTTATGACCTCTTAACAAAGTCACATTTCAAATACGAGCTGTTAGCGGATTGTCTGATGTCCTGAAAGGAATGAAAAATAAAATAAAATAAAGGGAAACCACTGATGGCTATGATATTATATATCATATCATTAAAATACTATCAATATGTAGAGCTAGTTGCAACACTGAGAGCTTGGCTGTTTATTACAGCTACCAGGGGCACATCAGCAATATTATATATATATAATATATACATATATATATATATAATATATACATACATATACATACATATATATATATATAT